CCCATGGTTAGGGAGGCGTGGCCCTGCTGCCCGAGCCGCTCCTGCAGGCCCTGCCACAAGACGTGTCTGACCGGCTCGGGCCCGCCGCGCAGCAGCAGCAGCAGCAGCAGCAGCAGCAGCAGCAGCAGCAGCAGCAGCAGCAGCAACAGCAGCAGCAGCTAGGGGAATATCTGGAGGCCGCCAGTCCTGCAGCCTTCGGTTCGGCAGAGCTGCTCGCCTGGCACAGGCTGCTGGTGGATCACAGCCCCCCAGCCCCTGGGGAGGCCGCCGCGGAGGGAGGCACGAGCAACCCCCCGGCCGCGGCGACGAGTGCCGCTGAGCTGGCGCGCCTGAGGGCCGTCGCGCTGGCGGCGGCCAAGCAGCTCGCGCGGGCACGCGCCTCGAACAAGCAGCGGTTGGCGGCGTCGGCGGGGCGGCTGTTTGGCGGCGGTGGGAGCGGCGGCAGCGGCGGCGGCGGCGGCGGAGGCGGGAGCGCTGCGGGCGGTGGCGGGGGCGAGGGGCAGGCGGCAGCGTGCGGTGGCTGCACACTAATAGGCGGGCTGTGACGGCCTTCACCCCCAACCAAAGCATTTATCACTATGCAGAGCTGAGCCGGCGGCGATGGCGCCACGTTCCCGTGCGCAGCCGCTGGCCCGTCCCGCCCTCTGTGGGACCGCCACTCCACTCGATTTGCCTCGCGTGCTGCCTGCAAACGCTCCACAAACTGGCAATTGTGACTAAGGAACTACAGGCAAGACATTTGCATTTTCATTCCTAAACAGGCCCCACCAAAGGCTCTAGGCAAAGGCCCAGCAGTCGGGCAACTCCTGCTGGCGGGGCGGCCCTGGGAGGCCGCCGTAGGCCGCACGGCACAACCAGTCCCGTGGGTCCACGGCCCACCGCCGGCCCAGGAGGCGGCGGCGCGCACCCCCGCTGATAGGGATCAGGCTGCGCACAGCGCACGGTGCGCAGCGCGCGTGAGGTCCCCTGCTCGCGGCTGTCCAGGAACGCGACACCAGGCAGGGTCGGCCAACAGGCCGCCCCTGCAGGAGGGGGGCCGCTACGTCACGCGCCCCATCAGCGCCGCTGGTCAAGAAAGGGCCGCGTCGCCACCGCCGCCGCCGCCGCCCCCTGCCCGCAGCAGCGGCCACGCGCCCAGCCGCAGCGCATCGTCCCAGTGCCACCAGCGCCGCCACTGCAGCTCTTGCTGCTGCTGCTGCTGCTGCTGCTGCTGCTGCTGCTGCCCCTGCTGCTGCTGCTGCCGCTGTCCCTGCTGTTGCCCCTGCTGCTGCGCCTCCCGCGCCTGGGCCCCCGGCC